GCCACATTTTTTAAAATTAAACTTCTTCTAACACCACTTCTTCAAAATAGACTTGCCCAGGCCATCGTATTTTGTGGAAGAGCCACACCCATGGGGCCAAAGGGCCGCATGTGGCTCACAAGCCGCAGTTTGCCAGCCACGGGGATGTCCCCAAAGATGGCTTCCCTCCGAAGCATTTACGTCTCAACTCAGCCTGTCACTTAAACTCATTTTTTTAATTATATTTTTTATTTATTTCAGGGAGAGAGAGAGAGAGAAACATCCATATGAGAATCATCCATCAGTCGATCAGCTGCCTACTGCATGCCTCCTACTGGAGAATGAGCCCACAACCCAGGCATGTGTCTTGACCAGGAATCGAACCGACACCTCCTGGTCCATGGGTCGAGGCTCAGCCATTGAGCCGTATCCACCAGGCGGTCACGGAATATCTGGCAAAATGAACAAAAGATACAAAATCAAAGTAGAAATCGTTAGAAACACATGATGGACCCCACAGTTAGAAAGATTTTAGCAAAGAAGTTCTTCCCAACTTTCTTCTAGTATTATTTAAAGATTTTTATTATTTTATTTTATTTTATTTTATTTTATTTTATTTTATTTTATTGCCTTCAACTTTTTCTCACCCGGGGAAGGGGTCCCTTGTGTCCCCTTCCATCCTAACCTGAACTTGGCCCTGCCCTCCACTTAGACATGACAACAGCTGCCAGCCATGTAGACTTCAGGAAAAGCCTGGGCCCGGGCACTTCCCAGAGCGATCAGAATCCCGCCCACCCCCCCCACCCCCCCCCACCCCCCCCACCCCCCCCCCACCCCCCCCCCCCCCGCTCAACTTGAGCTGCCTGCCGGGGGCGGGGGGGGGGGGGGGGGGAGGGGGAAGGAAGTTTGGGGAACCGAAGGAGGCAACTGAAAGGAACCCCGCCGCGGGGGCGGACCCCAACGTGGGTTTGCCTCAGCCACTTAACATTCTTGGAAGCCCCGACAGAGTCCTCCGAAAGAGAGAGAAAAAAACGGACTTAAAAAGTCATCCCGGGGGCTTGACCATGTGTTCTTCGCTGGTAGAATCCAGGACGAGGATTTGGAGACACCCCGGTGGGAGTATTTCTCGCTGCTCTCCCCTAATCCCCTCCAAATCGCCTGGGCTCTACAGCTGTTAGCCAGCCAGATAAACTATGTGTTCCATTATTCTTGGCCTGGACGGGGCGGCTCCCCTCAAAGGCTCGGGGATGGAGCATTTTGGGGACTTCAATCAGCCCGGCCCTCCCAGGACTGCCACCAGGAGACAGGGCCTATTTGAAGAGCCAGGGCCCCCAGAGTCAAACTCTCTCTCTCTCTCCCTTCCTCTCCCTTTTCATCTCCGCCCAGACGGGCCAGAGGCGGCTGACACCTCCCCACGGGACCCGATGGCGGGGAGTGGAGTTAGCAGTGGGAGCCGTGCCAGAGCAGAGAACCAAGGCGATATAATAATTACAAATGAAAGGGAGATTATCGGGGACAAATGCTTCCAAAATGGGTCCCTGAGATCTCGGGGTGGCGGCACATTCTCAAAGGAGACGGATGGGCTCAGCAGCAGCAGCTGCTGTCTCCATGGCAATGGGGGCAACAGATGCCCGGCTGGGGAGCGCTGGCTGCACATGTCAGACCCAGCCGAACGCCAGCCACACGGGCATGGAGATGACAGACCGGGTCACCTTGGCATCGTGGAAAGGCACTGGTAATTGACGCAACTTTGTTTTCTTCTGTGTCTGCTCTCCCGCCGCCTCCCCCGGCTGCAGCCGAGTCCCGCTAATCAATGGCTGGCAGCTGCTGAGAGACGGGTCCGGGCTGGAGTAGCTCTGAGAAAGGCTGTCTTTGGGGGGTTGATCCCCACCCCCAGCGGCTGCAAAGTCCTTAGTGGGGGCTGGTAGCTCTCTCTTCCACTGAGTGCTCATCTGCACCCCCTTTGGCAGGTTCCACCTCTGGTGGCTTCGCTTCCTTGGCCTCCTTTGCCAAATGCCCGCTTGCTCGTTCCTATACGTTTTCCACCACCTGTGGGCCGTGACCAGCCCCCCCCCCCTTCAGAATCACCTGGTTTGCTTGTTGCAGGTGCGGGTCCGAGGGCATCATTCCAGACCTCCTGACTCAGAAGCACTGGGCAGGAACTCCCATCATGTGCAGCTTCAACAAGCTTCTCACGTGTTTCCCATGTGCCCTTGAGCTTGGGGTCCACGCCAGGGCTCTGCCAGGGGTGGGGCTGATCTCTGCCCACTCCCGCCAGCAGGACCTTAACTACCCAAGTCGCCAAAATCAACCCAGCTTCTCTGGAGCCTCCCCGAAGGCTAGAGAGAGAGCCAGGAGAGGCTGAAAGGCTGGGCCTGTGCACCCATGGCTCTGAGGTGAGCAATGGTTGGGCATCTCTGAGGTGAATTATCCTTTCTCCCGTCTGGACACACGGTGGCGGGCGTTTTTCTTTCAATGTTATGCCTAATGCTTTGCAGACTTCTGGGTGGGAATTGGGGGGGGGAGGGGGACAAAGGCAGCTCAGAGGAGGGGCTTTCCAAACCGGGAAGTCAGTCATCTGTAGCCACAGTGTGGGGAGACGCAGGGGAAAGGCTGACACAGGAGCCGGGCCCTTTGCTCTTGGCCTTCAGGGGAGCCGGGGAGCCCTGGACCCTCTGCGTTTCCCCGTGGTCAGGAGGATGGCTTGATGCAGCCTTCCCACTCCATCACCTGCATCCCGGCTGGCACAGGGCTCACACAGGCACAGAAGGCTGTGCTCAAATGCCTAGGACCGTGGTCGGCAAACTGCGGCTTGAGAGCCACATGTGGCTTTTTGGCCCCTTAAGTGTGGCTCTTTCTCAAAATACCACAGCCTGGGCGAGTCTATTTTGAAGAAGTGGTGTTAGAAGAAGTTTAAATGTAAAAAATTTGGCTCTCAAAAGAAATTTCAATCGTTGTACAGTTGATATTCGGCTCTGTTGACTAATGAGTTTGCCAACCTCTGCCCTAGGAAGTGATTTCAGTTTCCTTTTTGTCCTTCTTGTGCGCGCGCGCGTGCATACACACACACACACACACACACACACACACACAAATGGGGCAAAGGTCCAGGTAAGACACCATATTCTTAGCTACCTCTCCATCCAAAATTTCTTTCCGTCCTCTGTCACTCAGACTGGCCCCATCTCTACCAGATTCACATCTCTTCACTTTCCATATTGAGTTTTCCCTGTTCCCTCCCTCCCCAAGAGAGAGGAACTCCCTAGAAGCCAAACACCCAGAGAGGAAAGAAAAGGCCTTTGGGACCATGAAATTGCGGAATCACTTGGAAGGGAAAGTGCTCGGAGCCTGTTGCCTGCTTTTGTCCGCCCAGGGCGGCGGGAGCAGCTGGCTCTGGACTGGCACCTGGGCTTGAGCTTTTGCCTCTGGCAGAGGTTTCTCGGCCTCCCTGGCCTCCCGTGTCTACCTCTCTCTGATGAAACCTCCAGGGTGCTCACGTGGCAAGAACAGGGCAAAGGAGGTGTGCTTCGTATGCCCTTGATAAGAAACACTTGCTCAGGAAATCCATTTGTTAAGTAACAACCTGTCGGGAGAATCCAGTTTTGTGTTTCAATGGCAGGCTTCTGCTGACGGGCATGCCAGAGTGGAGCTGGGACACCTAACGATCATTATGTGTGGCTCGTTCAGAATACCCTCTCCTGCCTCACGTTTTCTTTTTCTTTTTTTAAATATATCTTTATTGCCCTAACCTGTTTGGCTCAATGGTTAGAGCGTCGGCCTGCAGACTGAAGGGTCCTGGGTTCGATTCCAGTCAAGGGCATGTACCTTGGTTGCGGGCACATACCCAGTAGGGGGTGTGCAGGAGGCAGCTGATCGATATTTCTCTCTCATCGATGTTTCTAACTCTATCCCTCTCCCTTCCTCTCTGTAAAAATCAATAAAATATATTTTTTAAAATATATTTTATTGATGCCGAAACCGGTTTGACTCAGTGGACAGAGCATCGGCTTGAGGACTAAAAGGTCCCAGGTTCAGTTCCAGTCAAGGGCATGTACCTTGGTTGCGGGCACATCCCCAGTAGGAGGTGTGCAAGAGGCAGCTGATCAATGATTCTCTCTCGTTGATGTTTCTCTCTATCCCTCTCTCTTCCTCTCTGTAAAAAATTAATAAAATGTATTTAAATATATATATATTTTTATTGATTTCAGAGAGAGGAAGGGAGAGAGAGAGAGAGAGAGAGAGAGAGAAAGAGAGAGAGAGAGAGGAATATCAACGATGAGAGAGAATCATTGATCCGCTGCCTCCTGCACATCCCCCACCGGGGATCGAGCCTGCAACTCGGGCATGTGCCCTGACCAGGAAACAGACCCTGACCTCCTGGTTCATAGGTCAACGCTCAACCTCTGAGCCACGCTGGCCAGGCCAGGCCTCATGTTTTAAAAACATGCTGTCCTACATCCCCAGTGGGGGGTGTGCAGGAGGCAGTTGATCGATGATTCTCTCTCATCGATGTTTCTAACTCTCTGTCCCTCTCAATTCCTCTGTGTGTAAAATCAATAAAATGTATTTAATAAAAAATAAAAATAAAAAAACATGCTGTCCTCTCTCCTTTCCAGGTGATAAGGCCTACGAAGCCAGGAAAGAATACACAGGTGCCTGAGACATCTTTGAAACTGTATTGGACTGGAGGAGGGCAGAGGGAGAAGTTTGCACAGTTCGTACTTTTCCAGGATGAGTACACTGAGATGGACTCCTGGGTCTGGGAAACAGAAGTCAGAGGGAACCTCTTCGCAGGAATATTTCTCCAGGAGCCAGCAGCACCCCCTGGTGGCCCAAGGGCTATGAGTGTCATTGCAACTTCCTGGAAATGGTGCCACCTGCTGCACGCTCTCGAGCCTGCTGATATGTCAACCAAACTTCTCCAGGTACTTTCCATTTACTCACTTAAAGGAGGCAGTGTTGGGCTTTTGGAAGTGAACTTGTAAAATAAAAAAGGAAAGGGAACATACAAAAGGGTTTGACTGCAGCCATTAAGTCGGTCATGCTCTTTTCCCCATGGGGGCCTGGTGTGCAATGACTGCACACAGTTGCATTCTTATTTATTTTTTAAGTATTTACTTATTTTTGCATGTGGGTGTCCAGGTATTCTAACATTGTTTCTTGAAAAGGTGATCTTTCCAACACGTGTGTTTGTTAATTTATTGATGATAGCCATTCTGACAGGTGGGAGGTGATATCGCATTGTGGTTTTGTGTGAAGGTTCCTCAAAAATGTAAAAAATAGCCGAGACCGGTTTGGCTCAATGGATAGAGCGTCGGCTTGGGGACTGAAGGGTCCCAGGTTTGATTCCAGTCAAGGGCATGTATCTTGGTTTCGAGCATATCCCCAGTAGGGGGTGTGCAAGAGGCAGCTGATCGATGACTCTCTCTCATCGATGTTTCTAACTCTCTATCTCTCTCCCTTCCTCTCTGTACAAAAAATCAATAAAATATATTTAAAAAAATGTAAAAAATAGAACTGCCATGGGACCTGACAATTCTGCTTCTGGGTATTTATCTGAAGAAATTCCATATGCACATTTCCATGTGCAGCTGGGTCCTCCTGCACACCCCACACTGAGGATCCAGCCTGCAACCCAGACATGTGTCCTGACTGGGAATTGAACCTTGACCTTTTGGTTCATGAGTCGATGCTCAACCACTGAGCCACACCAGCTGGGCAGAGACACATTTGATTAAACCACTGGCCATTGATGATGAACTCAATCTCCAGCCCTTCCCACTTCCCTGAGGTGAGGGTGGGGGCTGGGACTGAAAGTTCTAACCCTCTAACCTCCTGGTTGATCCCCCTCAGGTGCTTTCCCCATATCATCTTATTCACATAACACAAGACACCCTCTTTGCTTCCATCAGAGAATTCCAAGGGTTTTAGGATCTCTGTGCCACACTAGAAGCACAAACCAAATACCTATTTTTTCTAAATCTCAAGGTCACCAGACCCCAGGCGTTTGATGCAGACTCTGAAGGGGCCGCAGTGATCCCCTGAGATCCTGAGGGGATGAGAACCAGTGACATTGGAGTTGATAACACATGATCTGTTGCTTCCATGGGTCTGGGGAGACATGAGAGAAGTTTACACAGAAAGAGGAACTATGGGAAAGCAGGGGACTTGGTTGGAATGTCTGGAAGGAGGATTCTCTGAAAGGTTGGGGGCCTCTGAGGGGACCTTGCCGAAGGCGGCAGCCCCTGCCTTGGCTTTTCCAAACATGTCTGAGCCCCGGATGTTTTGCTGGAATCTCTATGTTTAGTCTTTAAAAGACCTGGCCTTGCAGAAGCATACACTTTCTCAAGGATGCTTACCCTGCTGATAGTATCTAGTAGGTAATTTTAGTTCAAGCTGTTGTGCCAGTAAAAGCCAAGGAGCCCGGCGACCAGGGCTATTGGGCAGCAATAGGCAAATAGGCAGTAGTCCCTTAGCCTCTCTTTCACAGAAACATGTGTCGCAGTTACCATTCATCCGTCACTCAGGGTCTGCCGGTCAACCCCGGCAGGGAACATCACCTTTGTCTGCTCAGAAGTCATCGGCCCCTCGGCTACACCCTGACACCTTCAAGATCCATCTTTGCACCCTAACCGGTTTAGCTCAGTGGAGAGCGTCGGCCTGCGGACTGAAGGGTCCCAGGTTCGATTCCAGTCAAGGGCATGTACCTTGGCTGCGGCCACATCCCCAGTAGGGGGTGTGCAAGAGGCAGCTGGTCAATGTTTCTCTCTCATCGACGTTTCTAGCTCTCTATCCCTCTTCCTTCCTCTCTGTAAAAAATCAATAAAATATATATTTTTTAAAAGATCCGTCTTTGCCATTTCACAGAGATGGAAGCCGGGAGGTTGTCTGACCACCTACCACGTTGCAAAAGGTGGGATGAGCTCATCCGACTCAACATGAGGCTCCCACTGACGTGTCTGTCTTCCCAGAGAAGGCTCCTAGCAGGTGTCTCCAAGTTCAAGTGGTGGGAACTACTCCGTCAATAATATGTCAAAGCACCATCCGTGCCCCCTCTACACCCATCATCAACTCCCCTCCCCTTCTTCTGTCAATCACTTTGTTCCTCTGCCTCTCCCTCCAGCCCCAATGAGCTTCCACAGCCTCCCTCCAACCTACACGCATCGCTCCCCATCCTTTCTCCTCCTCCTTCCAGTTCCCCACACGGAGACTGAGCACCTGTCAGACACTGTGCTACCTCTAGGCCGCGGGAACCTCCTGTCTGCCCCCCACTTCCTGAGGTCCCGGGCCTCCCGACAGCTGGGTCCTTCCTGGCTCCCCTCCCATCCCCAAGCCAAGCCAAGTGTTCCAAAATAGTCTCCCGGACAATGAGGACAACTGCGCAGTTATTCTAGAAGGTCGGTGTGGCCAAGACTCAGAACAATGCAGAGACAATGGGGCAGGAGAGGGAGAGAGGATGTGGTGGGAAGGCAACATGGCTCACCGGTGAGGCCCATGACTTCAAAACCTGCATTTTTCCTATAGGATGACCAGAAAATGGATGGGCAAAAGACCAAAACCACAGCCAGGGCCCTACAGCTTCCCATCCCTAAGACTGTAGAGACAGAGAAATGGCTTCCTTTAAGGTTGCCTTTGACATTCTCACAGGGTGACCAGGATGCAGGGCCTGGGTTACAAAAGGGGACGGCCTATTGGAAGCCCTAGCACTCTTCAAACTGCAGTTTCTAAAAGGCCCAGAGTGGAGTCCAGTGATACCTGGTGATAAAGACTAGCTGGAGCTTTAAACAAACAGGATCCCTTGGGAAGGTCTATGGGAGGAGCAAGGGCTTATGGGAGTTCTCACACTTTGCATAATCGCAAAAACCCTACACGCGAGGACCCTGCAGGAAGAATTCTGTGTTTGTAAGAAAGCTCTCCGGTTCTAACTTCCCTTTCCCTTCACTTCTGTTTTCCCGTCTATGAATACCCTCCAGGTTTTCATACTATCATGCAGGTCAGATGCAACCCTTTCATTTTCCCCAGATAAATCCTCTTTGCTGACAAAACATCGAGTTGATATTATTTTCCAGTCAACAATAGCAATATTTTTCTTCTTTATAAATATATGCACACAGTGGTGTTGGTGTGTACCTTGGAATGGGATTACAGTTCTCAGCAATATATTTCAAAGGAAAGAAAACAAAGTCAAGTTTCATGTAGACTTGATTGTTGCAAGAAATGGATTCTGAGATTGTAGAGGAGCCCACACTGGCCATGAGCAGTGTGCTTGTTAGAAGGACAACTATAATATTGGAAGACACAGAGCGTCATATGTCTTTAAAATGATGGGACAGAACTCGGAAAAAAAGATCACAGAATTGTTCAGAGGAATAAGGCTGATGGGTGGGGTCGGTGACTGTCTTCAGAGAATTTGTGTGAGATCGTACAGTTGCTCTTCCATCTTTATGCCCAGCTTTCAGGCAGTGAGTGCTGCGAGTTATTGGGAAGGAAAAGACCTGTGGGCTCTACAAGGAGTCTGAGCTGAGAGGTTTCTTTAAAATAATTCTGGATGTGATATTCTGTTGTCTCAAGAAAAGAAGATTTTGCCCTAGCCAGTTTGGCTTAGTGGATAGAGTGTTGGCCTGCGGATTGAAGGGTCCTGGATTCAGTTCTGGTCAAGGGCACATGCCTGGGTTACGGGCTCGATCCCCAGTGTGGGACATGCAGGAGGCAGCCGATCAATGATTCTCTCATCATTGATGTTTCTCTCTCTCCCTCTCCCTTCCACTCTGAAATCAATAAAATATATTTTTTTTAAAAGAAAAAAAAGAAGATTTTGAGTTACCATTCTCTGCCCTGAACCCTCCTACTGTGTGTAAGTGGAACAACTTCAATCTTTTTGAAAGTGACAGAATGAATATTCCTCATATAAAAATAGAAAAGCGAAGCACCAGGGAACCTCCATTTTCTCATTTCAGATTTAGTCGATGTCCCGGAAGTTCTATCAGAGTAACTGAAGTGACCCAACCTGGGAACCAGACAGAAAGCCTCAACCTTCCACGCAGCAAAGCAGCTGGCTGGGCCTACAGCGCCACCTTGTGTCCACAGTGAGGCAGCCCCTCTGTAAATACACCCTCTGGCGAGCATTCTTCAGCTATTCGGTGTTGAGTGCTGTGCCTCACTAATCCGGTAGGTGTCAGTACAGACATGAGTAGACAGTTTTAGAGTCATGTTTCCATCACCATATGGCTTCGGGAAATTTGTTTTACCTCGCTGACCTCACTGTGCCTCAGTTTCCTAAACCTGGAAATGGAGATAAAAGTAAGAAACGGATATAGTTTTTCGTAGGAAATGTTTGTCAACCTAGTCATCGCTCCACACAGGGAAAATACAAAGCATGATCCCTTGAAGAGCTGACCATTCTTGTAGGGGAGGGATATGTTGGTTCTGGGGCCTCTTGAGCGGGACTCTGGTGCAGGCCAATGTCATACACGGCCTATGACTGGCCCTGGGCAACCTGCTTGGAACTACACAGTGATCCACAATTTGTGACTGCCTCTAGTGGGCACAGTGTACATAGGAAGGACCAAGCTGTGCACCAATGCTGGATTTTATCAGCACCAGGCCCATGGGCAAGTCAGCAAAAGTCCTAAGGACCCCAACATCTCCTTTCACCTCACCCCTAAACCCACCAGCTGCCTGCTAGAGCCTCTGGCAGTACTTGAGGTGCATGAGATGGGTTCTCAGTGAGCCACCAGGTAGGGGTGGGCGATATTCAACAAATAGATGCAGGTTCAAATTCAGTGCCAGTGCTAGGTCTGAGGCTACTCAGCCAATGTCCCGGGGTGTTCCAAGTCCATCTGTCACCTGCTGGGTGCCTACAGACCTTTGTGGTGGGGTGGGGGGCCCAGGGAGTCATCAGGGTGAGGCCAGCAGGGTTTATGAAGCCCACACTAAGATTTGGCCAGGTGACCAAGATTTGGTTCTGCATTCACGGGGAAAAAATGACCTCGATCCTAGAGCCACACAATTTAGTCTCTTCAAAAATTCTGCCAGCAGCCTGAGCTCCACAAGGCAGGGCCACTGGGGGTCAGAAGGGTGGAGCTCGTGGGCGTCCTGTGTCAGGGAGTTGCAAGAGTTGCTGGTCAGGCTTGGGAAAAGGTGGATGG